CAAATAGCATAGGTGAGGTATGGATAAATAAGTGAGTGGTATAGTGTGAGAAGGGCAATTTGCGGCACGTAGTATCGTATCTTGGAGAGGATCCCAACTGTTTTGGATACTTTTTTGGTTATGTGTTGGATATGGGTGCTGAAATTCAGGTTGTTGTCAAGGTATAGGCCTAGGAATTTGCCCTCATTATGTCTGGTAATTAGAGTGTTGTCGATCTTAATGTTAATTTGTGCATCTCCTGCTCTGCTACCAAACATAATATAGTAGGTTTTGTCAGTGTTAAGCGTAAGTTTATTGGCTGTCATCCAAGTCGATATTTTGATCAGCTCCTCGTTAACAATGGTGTTGAGGGTGGCAAGATTAGGGTGAGAGATGACATAAGTCGTGTCGTCAGGAAAGAGAATGGGTTTCAGGTGTTGGGATACGTTTGGAAGATCATTGATGTATATGAGGAAGATTATTATTATATTATAATCAAAAAGAAGCGCTAAGCCACAAGGATATATGAGGAAGAGCAGGGGACCAAGGACACTTCCCTGCGGAACTCCAGTATCAAGTGGCCGTGTTGTTGATTGCTGTGTCTTTAATGGTAACATACTGATACCTATTAGTAAGGTAAGATTTGAAATAAGCAAGTGCATGGCCTCTTATACCGTAATGGTCAAGTTTGTGGAGTAGGATGTCGTGGTCTAGTGTGTGAAAAGCTTTTCTTAGGTCAATAAAAATTCCTAGTGGATATTCCTTATTTTCCAGTGCTGTGTAAAGCAGATCTAGCATTTTTATGATTGCATCATTAGTGCTTTTATTTTTCCTAAATCCAAATTGGCAGGGGTTGAGTATGTTTTGTGCTGTTATAAATGAATATAGTCTCCTGTGCATGAGTTTCTCAAAGATTTTGGATAGCAATGGTAAGTTTGATATTGGCCTATAGTTGTTTAAGTCTGTAGGGTCACCACCTTTATGTATTGGTGTAACCCTTGCCATCTTGAGTAGTTTCGGGAAGGTGCTAGTTTCTAGTGACTTGTTAAAAAGTAATGAAATAGCATGCGAAAGGATATGGGCCGCTCGCTTGTACAGTAATGGTGGGACATTAGACAGATTCCCCGAGTTGTTTTTAAGTGACTTTATAATCTCGGTGACTTCCGAGGGCTCAGTTGGTGCAAGATAGAAGGAATTTGGGAAATTCCCATCTAGGTAGTCCCCGGCATGGGCATTAGTATGTGGGCTTTTATTGGCGAGATTAGATCCTATGGTTGAGAAGAAGTCGTTTATCTTGTTAGCTGTGTCAGTGGGATGTAGTGGTGTTTCATTAGGTTTAGTTAGGACAATATTCTTGGTTTTTTTCAGTTTGTGGGTCCCTAGAATCTGAGAGAGTGTTTTCCAGGTCTTTTTTATATCTCCTCTAGTGTCTGTGAATCTACTGGAGTAGTATAGTTGTTTGGCTTTCTTTATTACTTTGGTGAGGACTGATGAATAGTGTTTAAGAATATCTTTGTGTATCAAGCCCTGTCTATATTGCTTTTCATATTGGTGTTTCTTGTCAATGGATTTCAGAATGGTGCTGGTTAGCCATGGGCAACCAAGCCGTTTGTTTGTGATCTGTTTCGTTTTTATAGGACAATGTTTGTTGTATAGTCTAAGTAATTTGTTAAGAAAAATGTCTGTCCAGTCATCAATACCATTGGCTAAAGCAGTGTTCATAAAAAAACATTAGTGTGTACATAAGAAAATATTAATTTTTTTTTATTAACACATTGGCCAATTCCCACCAAGCAGGGTGGCCACAAAAAGAAAAACTTTCATCATCATTCACTCCATTACTGTCTTGCCAGAGGAGTGCTTTACACAACAGTTATAAAACTGCAACATTAACACCCCTCCTTCAGAGTGTAGACACCGTATTTCCCATCTCCAGGACTCAAGTCCGGCCTGCCAGTTTCACTGAATCCCTCCATAAATGTTACTTTGCTCACACTCCAACAGCACATCAAGTACGCATTAAAAACCACTTGTCTCCATTCATTATCAAATATGCTCATGCACGCTTGCTGGAAGTCCAAGCCCCTCACACACAAAACTTCCTTTACCCTCTCCCTCCAACCCTTCCTAGGCCGACTCCTACCCTGCCTTCCCTCCACTACAGATTTATATACACTCTAAGTCATTCTGTTTTGTTCCATTCTCTCTACATGTCCGAACCACCTCAACAACCCCTCCTCAGCCCTCTGGATAATAGTTTTGGTAATCCCACACCTCCTAATTTCCAAACTACGAATTCTCTGCATTATATTCATACCACACATTGCCCTCAGACATGACATCTCCACTGCCTCCAGCCTCCTACTTGTTGCAACATTCATCACCCATGCTTCACAACCATACAAGAGTGTTGGTACAACTATACTCTCATACATTCCCCTCTTTGCTTCCAAGGACAAAGTTCTTTGTCTCCACAGACTCGTAAGTGCACCACTCACTCTTTTCCCCTCATCAATTCTGTGATTCACCTCATCCTTCATAAACCCATCCGCTGACACGTCCATTCCTAAATATCTGAATACATTCACCTCCTCCATACTCTCTCCCTCCAATCTGATATCCAGTCTTTTGTCACCTAATATTTTTTATCCTCATAACCTTACTCTTTCCTATATTCACTTTTAATTTTCTTTTACATACCCTTCCAAATTCATCCACCAACCTCTGCAACTTCTCTTCAGAATCTCCCAAAAGCACCATGTCATCAGCAAAGAGCAACTGTGACAACTCCCACTTTGTGTTTGATTCTTTATCTTTTAACTCCACACCTCTTGCCAAGACCCTCGCATTCACTTCTCTTACAACCCCATCTATAAATATATTAAACAACCATGGTGACATCACACATCCTTGTCTAAGGCCTACAATTACTGGGAAATAATCTCTCTCTCTCTCCTACATACTCTAACTTGAGCCTCACTAGCCGTGTAAAAACTCTTCGCTGCTTTAAGTAACCTACCTCCTATACCATATACCTGCAACATCTGCCACATTGCCCCCCTATCCACCCTGTCATATGCCTTTTCTAAATCCATAAATGCCACAAAAACCTCTTTACCCTTATCTAAATAATGTTCACCTATATGTTTCACTGTAAACACTTGGTCCACACCCCCCCTACCTTTCCTAAAGCCTCCTTGTTCATCTGCTGTCCTACTTTCTGTCTTACTCTTAATTCTTTCAATAATAACTCTACCATACAGCTTCTTGTATAATTTAAATTCTTGTAACCGTAATACTATTTAGCTTTTTCTTTTTAGTAATGCTTGTGTGATTCATTCTCATACATTTGATTTACTGTATTCTGTTTATTCCTGTTGTACCTGTATTTATGTATTTGATTTACTCAGTTTTTCATTCTTACTGTTAGAAATCATGTATCTGATACTAAGTCTGCTAATAGTAAAGTGCAGTATTGAAAAGACCCAATAAAAATGAAGTTTGACCTTTTTTGGGTTATCCAATGTAATTTGCATGTAAGCTTCTATGTAAAACAAATGTATTCATCCAAAAATCGTGGAAACTTGGATCTAAATAAATTTACTTAGCTACCTAGTGTACACAAAAGCATTTGTGCACAAAATCACTAGTGGGTACACAAGTATGTTTGTATATAAGAAAAACCTTCATATAATTCTCTAAAAGAAATACCAGTTTATGCACAAAGAAACATTAGTGTACACAAAACCAATAATTTGTACAAACAAAAAAAAACATTAATCTTTAAAAAAAAAATTGTTTATGAAACAGTATTAGTTTAACAAAAAGCATTTCTCACAAAAAGTGTCAGTAGAAAGTGCAATAGTCTCTTAAAAAAAAAAACTTCAAAAATATATTAGTCACAAAAATAAGCATTACAATGTATAATGTAGATGAATAAGTTGGTATAGCATATTCAAATTAAATTTACATTGGGTGTACAGCTGTCATGAGATTATAATTATAATCAAAGCTGAACCTGCAAGTATAATATAGCAGCTGTCAGACTAACTTTGTAAATAGTTGGTAGTAACACAGACACAGTCATAAATTATGATTTAACTTAAGATAAGATTTATTCTGTAAATCTAGAATGATTTTAGAAATCAGTATAATTTTATGCAAGGGTTTTAAAGTCACATTAATGTTGTAATTGTACATATATGGCACTTTATATAGTTAATGTAGATGACCCAGTCAGGTCAATGTGCCACATCCAGGTTGCATAGCTAAAAAAATGTTTTATTTCCATTATTGCGTTTATGTAAATCACTTAAGTATATAGACAGAAAAAAAACTAAAAGCTAATATTAAAGGTATACAGTAATTGCTGTTCTAAACAACTTTCCATATTACTATTATAACAATCAAAACTATGCGTTAAACCCTCAAGTCATACATTATAATAAAATATGAAGCGCTAAACTACGTCATACAGAGCTTCATCTATATCAATATAATTATCTATTTGATAAATATACATGTCTGTGGTAAAATATAATTTGCCTTCATATCATTAATGTTCAGTATATAACATTTTACCGACGTTCAGGTAGAAGGTTGTTCAGAAGTAATAATACTTCATGAACTCCGTTACCTGTATTCTTTCTGTAATCATTGATTATTTTCACATGTAATGAATCTGAATAAAGAATAAGAGTCTACACCATATTTTATTCATAGAAGGCTGGCGAATGAAAAAACTATATAATAGTAAAATTTCTGACTCCGTTAGAATATAAAAAATAAAGTAATAACGTTTCCACTAACTTTCTGAACAAAATAAATTAATATTTATGTTGAGTGTGGCGAACTCTGCCTAAAGCCTTCACTGACGACAATAAGTACAGTAAGGAGTTTCATCAGAAAAATATAATGGGCAATAAAAAGATTTGGATAATATATTCAACAAATTATAGCAGTAAAACCTGTATGAGAGAAAGGTTTAGATTGTTTATATGTGAATGTTGTGTCGTATATAGATGGCAGACTGGACCAGTGTCACCAGCAACACTACACTCAGCCAGGACCTCCGCTTTGTTCACTACTCTCTTTCACAATTCCTGCATGTTCTACAAATTTATGGGTCGTAGGCGGACAGGAGCTGCCATGAACGTGCAGTAGAATCTACTAATTATCTTGGCCGACCAATAAGGCTGTAGATAGGAAGATAGATTAATTATTGAAGGTTAATTGTGAAGTATCGTAGGGTCCGCTAGTGGCTGCTGCGTCGGACATTGAGGAGACTCGTCCCTTGTTTCTAGCATAAAAGGTAAGGTTTTTGGCGTCTCCCAACAGCTACTCTGAGATTTTCTAGTATGTGAATATTTCCTGCATTAACCTGGGTAGCTTCGAGGAAGTTAAATTACATCAGTGGAGAGATATAAGAGTGTTGCGACGACCAAGGTCAACTGGCCACTACTGACTCCTCTAACATTATTTTACCCAACTTGCTGCACTTACTTTTTATTAACAAATTACCTTCAACTGCTGTATCTTCCTCCCATTTAAAGTACATTATGCTGTACTTGTATAAAAGATAATATGTAGATAAAGGTTGAGAGCAGGAGAGGAAGAAGGGGGGGGGGGATGGACTTCTTAGATCCCTTAAGAATAATAATATACATTATTTTGAGGTTACATTATTAATAATGTTAGTGACTGAGACAGTCACATTGTTCGCCTCTAACACTCAACTCTACATTAAATATTAATGTGAACAATGGTAAATTTTATTAAGCTGATTTTCCAGATGGTGATTTATTTTATCACTATTATAAGTCATTGTATCGAGTGGTTAATGGACTGTAGTGGCCGGTGGACTGTACTGACTAGTGGACTACTGGCCGCTGGACTACTGACTGGTGGACTGTACTGACTAGTGGACTACTGGCCGGTGGACTGTACTGACTAGTGGACTACTGGCCGGTGGACTACTGACTGGTGGACTGTACTGACTAGTGGACTACTGGCCGGTGGACTACTGACTGGTGGACTGTACTGACTAGTGGACTACTGGCCGATGGACTACTGACTGTGGACTAACTGCTAGTGTGACTACTGGACTGGTGACTGTACTGACTAGTGGACTACTGGCCGTGGACCTTGACTATGACTAGGTGGACTGTACTGACTAGTGGACTACTGGCCGGTGGACTGTACTGACTAGTGGACTACTGGCCGGTGGACTGTACTGACTAGTGGACTACTGGCGTGGACTACTGACTGGTGGACTGTACTGACTAGTGGACTACTGGCCGGTGGACTGTACTGACTGGGGACTACTGGACTTGACTGACGTGGACTACGACTAGTGGACTACTGGCCGGTGGACTGTACTGACTAGTGGACTACTGGCCGGTGGACTACTGACTGGTGGACTGTACTGACTAGTGGACTACTGGCCGGTGGACTGTACTGACTAGTGGACTACTGGCCGGTGGACTGTACTGACTAGTGGACCTGTAACTGGCCGGTGGACTGTACTGACTAGTGGACTACTGGCCGGTGGACTGTACTGACTAGTGGACTACTGGCCGGTGGACTATGACTGTGGACTGTACTGACTAGTGGACTACTGGCCGGTGGACTGTACTGACTGGTGGACTACTGGCCGGTGGACTACTGACTGGGACTGTACACTAGTGACTACTGGCCGGTGGACTGTACTGACTAGTGGACTACTGGCCGGTGGACTACTGCTGGACGTACTGCTGTGGACATACTGGCCGGTGGACTGTACTGACTAGTGGACTACTGGCCGGTGGACTGTACTGACTAGTGGACTACTGGCCGGTGGACGACTGGTGACTGTACTGACTAGTGGACTACTGGCCGGTGGACTGTACTGACTAGTGGACTACTGGCCGGTGACTGACTACTAGGACTACTGACTGGTGGACTGTACTGACTAGTGGACTACTGGCCGGTGGACTGTACTGACTAGTGGACTACTGGCCGGTGGACTACTGACTGGTGGACTGTACTGACTAGTGGACTACTGGCCGGTGGACTGTACTGACTAGTGGACTACTGGCCGGTGGACTTACTGACTGGTGGACTGTACTGACTAGTGGACTACTGGCCGGTGGACTGTACTGACTGGTGGACTACTGGCCGGTGTACTACTGGCCGGTGTACTACTGACTGGTGGACTACTGGCCGGTGGACTACTGACTGGTGGACTGTACTGACTAGTGGACTACTGGCCGGTGGACTGTACTGACTAGTGGACTACTGGCCGGTGGACTACTGACTGGTGGACTGTACTGACTAGTGGACTACTGGCCGGTGGACTGTACTGACTTATTGGACTACTGGCCGGTGGACTGTACTGACTAGTGGACTACTGGCCGGTGGACTGTACTGACTAGTGGACTACTGGCCGGTGGACTGTACTGACTAGTGGACTACTGGCCGGTGGACTGTACTGACTAGTGGACTACTGGCCGGTGGACTACTGACTGGTGGACTGTACTGTCTAGTGGACTACTGGCCGGTGGACTGTGCTGACTAGTGGACTACTGGCCGGTGGACTGTACTGACTAGTGGACTACTGGCCGGTGGACAGTACTAACTAGTGGACTACTGGCCGGTGGACTACTGACTGGTGGACTGTACTGACTAGTGGACTACTGGCCGGTGGACTGTACTGACTAGTGGACTACTGGCCGGTGGACTTCTGACTGGTGGACTGTACTGTCTAGTGGACTACTGGCCGGTGGACTGTGCTGACTAGTGGACTACTGGCCGGTGGACTGTACTGACTAGTGGACTACTGGCCGGTGGACTGTACTAACTAGTGGACTACTGGCCGTGGACTACTGACTGTGGACTGTACTGACTAGTGGACTACTGGCCGGTGGACTGTACTGACTAGTGGACTACTGGCCGGTGGACTGTACTGACTAGTGTACTACTGGCCGGTGGACTACTGACTGGTGGACTGTACTGACTAGTGGACTACTGGCCGGTGGACTGTACTGACTAGTGGACTACTGGCCGGTGGACTGTACTGGCCGGTGGACTGTACTGGCCGGTGGACTGTACTGGCCGGTGGACTGTACTGGCCGGTGGACTGTACTGGCCGGTGGACTGTACTGGCCGGTGGACTGTACTGGCCGGTGGACTGTACTGACTGGTGGACTGTACTGGTCGGTGGACTGTACTGGATGATGACTACTGGATGATGACTGTACTGGATGATGGACTGTACTGGATGATGGACTGTACTGGATGATGGACTGTACTGGATGATGGACTGTACTGGATGATGGACTGTACTGGCCGGTGGACTACTGACCGATGGACTGTACTGGCCGGTGGACTACTGACCAGTGGACTGTACTGGCCAGTGGACTACTGGCCGGTGGACTGTACCAGCTGGTGGACTGTTGACCGGTGCACTGTACTGGATAATGGACTGTGTTGGCTGGTGGATTGTATTGCCTGGTGTACTATATTGACTTCTGGACTGAGCAGATTGGAGGACTTTATTAACTGTTGGACTGTACTGGCTGGTGGACTGTACTGGATGATGACTGTACTGGATGATGACTGTACTGGATGATGACTGTACTGGATGATGACTGTACTGGATGATGACTGTACTGGATGATGGACTGTACTGGCCGGTGGACTGTACTGGCCGGTGGACTGTACCGGCTGGTGGACTGTTGGCCGGTGCACTGTACTGGATAATGGACTGTGTTGGCTGGTGGATTGTATTGCCTGGTGTACTATATTGACTTCTGGACTGAGCGGATTGGAGGACTTTATTAACTGTTGGACTGTACTGGCTGGTGGACTGTACTGGATGATGACTGTACTGGATGATGACTGTACTGGATGATGACTGTACTGGATGATGACTGTACTGGATGATGACTGTACTGGATGATGGACTGTACTGGCCGGTGGACTGTACTGGCCGGTGGACTGTGCTGGCCGGTGGACTGTACTGGATGATGACTACTGGATGATGACTGTACTAGATGACTGTCTTGGATGATATCTGTCTTGGATGATGGACTGTACTGGATGATGGACTGTACTGGATGACGGACTGTACTGGATGATGGACTGTACTGGATGATGGACTGTACTGGATGATGGACTGTACTGGAAGATGGACTGTACTGGAAGATGGACTGTACTGGAAGATGGACTGTACTGGCCGGTGGAACTGTACTGGCCGGTGGACTGTACTGGCCGGTGGACTACTGGCCAGTGGACTACTGGCCAGTGGACTACTGACCAGTGGACTGTACTGACCGGTGGACTGTACTGGCCGGTGGACTACTGGCCGGTGGACTGTACTGGCCGGTGGACTGTACTGGCCGGTGGACTGTACTGGCCGGTGGACTGTACTGGCCGGTGGACTGTACTGGCCGGTGGACTGTACTGGCCGGTGGATACTGACTGGACTGTATGGCCGGTGGACTGTACTGGCCGGTGGACTGTACTGGCCGGTGGACTGTACTGGCCGGTGGACTGTACTGGCCGGTGGACTACTGACCGGTGGACTGTACTGGCCGGTGGACTGTACCGGCTGGTGGACTGTTGGCCAGTGCACTGTACTGGATAATGGACTGTGTTGGCTGGTGGATTGTATTGCCTGGTGTACTATATTGACTTCTGGACTGAGCAGATTTGAGGACTTTTTTAACTGTTGGACTGTACTGGCCAGTGGACTGTACTGGCCAGTGGACTGTGCTGGCCGTGACTGTGCTGGCCGGTGGACTGTGCTGGCCGGTGGACTGTGCTGGCCAGTGGACTGTACTGACCAGTGGACTGTTGGCTGGTGGACTGTATTGGTTGGTCTACTGTACTGGTTGGTGGACTGTGCTGGCTGGTGAAATATACTAGATGGATTGTACTGGCTGGTGGACTGTACTGGCTGGTGGACTGTACTTGGAATACACTGAATAATGGACCATGTTGGCTGGTGGATTGCATTGCCTGATGGACTGTACTGGATGATGGACTGTGTTGGCTGGTCTACCTTACTGGCTTGTGGATTGTGCTGGCTGGTGGACAGTACTAGCTGATGGACGGCACTGATTGAAAGATAACTGGCTAGTGGACTATATTGACTGGTAGGCTGTACTGACTGATGGACTCTACTGACCAGTGGAAAGTACTGGCTAGTGGATTATATTGGCTGATGGACTATATTGGTTGGTGGACTGTGCTGGCTGGTGGCCTATATTGACTATTGGACTGGCTGGATGAATGTAATGGCTAGTGAACTGTAATTTTTCGTGGTCTCTA